AAGAAATGTATGCATTATCCTGCCCATGTAATTGTAACCCCTCTGTACAGTATGTTCACAAATAAAATTAAATTAAATTAAAAAAATAAAAAATGTTTAAAGCATTTTTATAAAGATAAACTCACTTCTTAAATTTCTGATTTCTTGGGAATAATCTACCAAAGTAGCATTCTTTCTCATCAACTTAATTTTTTTAAGATAAATATCAATACTCATTTTGTTACATTTAGAACTGAATTTGTTTTAATTCTTGCTTAAGTTTCCAGCTGAGATTTTCATAGAAATTTTTATCTGAGATTTTCATAGAAAAATGTATCAACTTTATACTTGTCTTCTTTTTTATGTTTTGAGGCCATAATGGAAACATCATGTTTATAATTGAAGGTCCTTTAAAATATCAAGGCAAGTTGTCTGATTCATGTTCTCTTTCTCTTTCAGGCGGGAGGTGCTGCTGTTTTTCTCCTGATGGAAAAGCTTTAGCTGTAGGCCTCAATGATGGAAGTTTCTTGATGGCAAATGCCGATACTCTAGAAGATCTTGTGTCTTTCCACCATAGAAAAGATATTATTTCAGATATTCGATTTTCACCTGGTAAGATCCTTTTGAAATTAGATTTGCTTATTAATTTCTGTGTAAGTCTATCCATGTGTAATTTTCATTAACTCATTTCATCTCAGAATTTTACTTTTTTTTTTTTTTTTGCCAGTCCTGGGCACTGTCCCTGAGCTTCTTTTGCTCAAGGCTAGGATTCTACCATTTGCACCACAGCACCATTTCTGACTTTTTCTGTTTATGTAGTACTGAGGAATCAAACCCAAGGCTTCATGCATGGTAGGCAAGCACTCTACCACTAAGCCACACTCCCAGCCCAGAATTTTATTTTTTTGACCAGAGTAGCAAAAGAATAGGTAAAACTTTCATATTTGATTTGTACAAATATCTTGGTAAGTGCGAATTCTTACACTACAACTTTCCAAATGACCTAGACTCTTCTATTAGTTTCAGGAAATTTTCTTTGTTTGTAACTGTAACATGAAAGGGGTTTGGTAACAATTTTCAGGATGTCTTAATGCTTTGGAATCTGCATTAATTTCATGCCATTTTATTTCTTTCTATGCATTATTGTAAGTATTAAACCTACAACAATGTAGGAATTACTACTGTTAAGACAAAACTCTTCTGATGTTGGTTTAGTTTCATTTTGTTCTAAATTTAGAGGTTTTTAGTCAGGCTAAGTGTGAAGTATACCAGAAGGACATCATATAATTTTTGACAGTAGTCTCTCCACTGAACTAATTTGTTAGACAAAAAAAGTTACTTCATTTTACTAGTTATTAATATTTTAAAATGTCATTTGACATATATGCATATATGTCTGGTTATAACTTATAAAACACCTAAAGTTTTTCCAAAAACATATTTTTAAAATCAACTTCAGTTTTAGAGTATAAAAAAATTTATTTCCAAGTTGTACACGAGTGTCTCAGACCTATAATCCTAGCTACAGAGGAGGCTGAAATCTGAGGATCACAGTTCAAAGCCAGCTTGAGTAGGAAATTCCATGCAACTCTGTTCTCCAGTTACCCACCAGAAAACTGGAACTGGCGCTGTGGCTCAAAGTGGTAGAATACTAGCCTTGAGCGAAAATGCTCAGAGACCTTGCCTAGGCCCCAGGTTCAAGCCCCACAACCGACCAAAAAAAAAAAAAACTACAGCAATTAAATCCTCCCTCTATGACTAAAATTATGCTAGTAAAAAAATGAAAATAATACATTTGCATAGATGAAAAATCACAAATGAATATGTTTCTATTTTAGGTTCTGGGAAATACTTAGCTGTGGCATCTCACGACACCTTTATAGATATATACAATGTAATGAATAGCAAACGAGTAGGAATATGCAAAGGAGCTACCAGTTACATAACCCATATTGATTGGGATATTAGAGGTAAGACTTTGAGTAACCTTTTAATATTGTTAGTTTCATTTAACTAAGTATAGCTATTTTAAAAGAACAGAAACAATTTAACAGATAGCCTCAGAAGTCTTGTGAAAAACAGTTGTTTTCCACTACTTTATTTGACATCTGAAGATAAACACTGTTGATTTAGACTTTTCAGTATTTTGCCCAATATAATCCCAATGGTCGTACAGTAACTGGTAACTTTTTTTTTTTTGGTGGGTCGTGGGGCTTGAACTCTGAGCTTGGGTGTTGTCCCTGCGCTCTTCAGCTCAAGGTGAGCGCTCTACCGCTTGAGCCACAGGACCATTTTCTAGCACTTTATTGGAGATAAGAGCCCCACGGGCTTTCCTGCCCCGGCTGGCTTTGAACCACCATCCTCAGATCACAGCCTCCTGAGTAGCTAGGATTATAGGCGTGAGCCACCAGCACCTAGCTAACTGGTAACTTTTATACAAGAAAAACCATGTCATGATAATCTCCTAATTTATATCAGATAAATTGACAAATTTCAAATGATAATGAGGTTTGAACTTGGTGCCTTGCACTGCTAGGCAACCACAGTAACATTTGACCCATTTTGCCAGCCCCTTTGTATTGGTTATACTGGTTGAAATTAAGAACACTAGTATTTGGGGCTTATATATTAGAAACTATTATCTCCTCTAGATGGATTGCTTCCCTTATTAATATGAGGTGGCCTTCTTTGTCTCTTCTGTTTTATTAGACGTTAGCTACTCTTGTCTGCTTTTAGGGTCCATCTGCTTGGTCATCCTTTCACTCTAAACCTATATTTGTCTTTGTCAGTGAAAGTGTTCCTTGTAGACAACAAAAGGTTGGGTGTTACTTTGGGAGAGGGGGGGGTCATGGGGCTTGAACTCTGGGCCTGGGCACTGTCCCTGAGCCTTTCAGCTAAAGGCTAGTGCTCTACCACTTGAGCCACAACAAGTGCCGCTTCCAATTTTCTGGTGGTTAATTGGAGATAAGAGTCTCACAGACTTTCCTGCCCCGGCTGGCTTTGAACAGTGATCCACAGATCTCAGCCTCCTGAGTAGCTAGGATTAAGGTAAGAGCCACTGGTGCTCAGCGGGTCTTACTTTTTAAATCCAATTTGCTGTTCTATGCACATTGGACTGGAACATAAGATCATTAACATTAGAATTGAAAGCTTTTTCCTATTTCCTAACATTTTTTAAATTTTTTTAATGTATACTTCTTTCCTATTTCTCCTACTAATCTGCTCTTCTAGTGGGGCTTATTCTTTCCATATTTACCTGTTTTCAGTATCTTCCTCTTCTGTATTTGGCATTCTTTGAAATGCTAGTTTAGTTTTATGAATTTCTTTTTAGTTTTTGTTTATAGTAAAAGTTTTATTTCTTCCTCAAGGCTAGCTTTTGTGGATAAACTAATATAGGTTGACAATTACTGTCTTTCGGAGCTTGGATTATGTTCTTCCATTTCTTCTTCACCTATAGAGTGTGTGCTGAGAACTCTACTGTTATTCAGATGGGCTGGACCTTCCTTTGGAGCTTTCAGTATCTTCTTTGTTCCCTGTACTTACTGTTTTAACTATAACATGAGAGGGCTGTTTCTTTTCTGATCTTGCCTATTTGGTGTTCTGTAAGCTTCCTGTATCTGGATAACACTGTCTTTCTCAAGGCTGGGGAAATTTTTTCTATTATTATGTTAAATAGAGTATTTATATGTTTAATTTGTTTCTCTTTTTCTATACCCATCATTTCATAGGTTTCTTTTGATAATGGCCTAAAAAGCTTACATATTCCATTAATATCTTCATGTTTTTTCAGTGTTTTGAAGTGGTTCATCTAAATAATTTGTTGGAGCTTCAGTTACTGATACACTATTTTCTACTTGTTCCATCCTGATGACTTGGCTTTTGATTGATTGGAATTGAGGGGGTTAATCATTTTTTCATGTCCATTGATTTGATTTTTCAGGTTCTTTATATATTTATTGCATTCCGTTGTCATATTCTGCGCTGTCCTTTTTATTTCAATCAACTATTAGGATTCTCTGTTAAGTCACATGATTTCTTCTAGCCTCCTCCCTTGTTCAAGTTGATTAATTTGCTGGGCAAGGTCTGAAAGCACTGAGACATAAAGACAGAAGGCCTGCTCAAAATCACATGAATAGATATAGTAAATATAATTCCTATGTACATATCTTCATGTCTTATTCAGACATGAAGAAGAATATAATCATGTCTTTTGCATGAAAATAGAACTGATAGCCAAGTTAATAGATAGAATAAAGAGCCAAGCTCAGAATGACAAATAGCACATTTTTGCTAGTACGTAGAATCTAGACATAAGTAATAGTAATAAAAGGAGGAGGAAGAAGCAAGTGAAGAGGAGGAAGTAGAATACAAGTGGTGAACATGATTGTAAAAGAGGGACTGTTTGTGAAACTACTCCTTAGGAGTAGAGAAAGAGAAAGGATTCTTGTTTTGAAGTGAGTATGACTGAAATGCATTTTATATATGTTTATATATGTATGAAAATTGCATAATGAAACCTACCAAAAAGGATTCTAAAGGCTGAGATAAAAATAATAAATTTGGAGGGCTGGGAAGTTGGCTCAGTGGTAGAGTGCTTGCCTCATATGCATGAGGCCCTGGGTTCAATTCCTCAGTACCACATAAGCAGAAAAAAGCCAGAAGTGGCGCTGTGGCTCAAGTGGTAGGGCGCTAGCCTTGAGCTGAAGAGCTGAGGGACAGCACCCAGGCCCAGAGTTCAGCCCATGACCGACAAAATAATAATAATAATTATTATTATTATAAATTTGGGACAGAGAACATGGCTTAGTGGTAGAGTGCTTACCTAGCATGTATGAAGTCCTGGGTTCAATTCCTCAGTACCACATAAACAGAAAAGAACGGAAGTGGTGTTGTGGCTCAAGTGGTAGAGTGCTAGCCTTGAGCACAGAGAAGCTCAGGAACAGTGCCCAGGCCCTGAGTTCAAGGCCCAGGACTGGCAAAAAAGTAATAATAATAAATTTGATCAAAGTACATTATAATACATGGATGGAAATACAACAGTGCAAAGTGGTTTCACTTTGCACAATTATTTTACACTAATCAAAAAAAGAAAATATAGCCTAGCACTGGTGGCTCATGCCTGTAATGTTAGCTACTCAGGAGGTTGCATCTGAGGATCATGGTTTGAAGCCAGCCAGGGCAGGAAAAGTCCATGAGACTCTTATCTCCTAAGCACCAGAAAACCACAAGTGGCACTGTAGCTCAAGTTGTAGAGTGCTAGCCTTGAGCAAAAGAACTCAGGGATAGCACCCAGACCCCAAGTTCAAACCCCATGACTGACAAAAAAAAAAGAAAAAGAAAATATAATACGGTTAATATATACTGACCACAGAGGAAAATGGTCTTTCTGTTTCAGCTTAATTTTTCCATAAAATTTAAATATACTAATGATATATGTATTTATTTATTTTAATGCTTTTTTAAGGAAAGCTTTTACAGGTCAACACTGGTGCTAAAGAACAGTTATTCTTTGAAGCTCCCAGAGGGAAAAAACAAACCATCCCCAGTGTGGAGGTAGGAAGATTCTGGTACTGTGGTTGTGTCTCCATTAGTAAGAGTTGTTGGAGAATTGATTAATGTCTATGAGTATTCACTCTCACATTGTTTGAATTATGGATTTCCTTTAGTTACTTTATTGGGCTAGAATATGTAGATGGGTAAAAGAAGAAACACTGTTTCTAGGAAAGGAAAAAATTATATCTAAGTCTAGCTATTCTGAAAGCACTTTCCTCAAAGGATGAGAAGCATCACAGTAATGAACACACATGCCAAATCTACTTTGAAGTACTGAATATCTGCCATATCCTTTGAAATCCATATGCCTAAGATGCTTGTTCTGGCTTTTTTTAAATTGTGTTTGGTTTTGTGCTTCACAGTCTTAGTGGTTATGAACATAGCATAAGAAGAGTTTTATTTAACATGAAAGTGTCTTAATGAAGGAAGGAATAAGATTAAGTAAAAGCTCTTGATTTCCAAAATGATTAATCGGAAAACATGCTTATAATGTATTAGTGGATATGTATAGATATGAACTATATAAATGTTTCTTGATTATGCCAAAACTAGAAACTGTCTTATTCATTATTACTGTATGCTTAAATATAGAACATATAGTAGATATATAATATAGAACATATAGTAGATATATAATAAGTAAATCCTGAATGGTGTTATCTTAAATTTTTTCTTCAGAAACTCATAGAATCTGGGGAAGTATACAACCAAGGCAACTCACAATTTAGCTATTTTTCCACTAAATCTTTACATATAAAAAATTCATATTCTGATTTGTCAACTTGAATTTTATAAATCTACAATTTTTTCCCTTTTTAGGTAGAAAAAATAAGTTGGTCATCATGGACAAGTGTGCTTGGTTTGTGTTGTGAAGGAATTTGGCCAGTAACAGGAGAAGCCACAGATGTAACTGCCTCTTGCCTTACCAATGACAAAGTGGTCCTAGCTACAGGGGATGATTTGGGATTTGTGAAGTTATTTAGGTATCCTGCCAAAGTATGTATTTTCTTTAACTTTTCTAATAATCACAATTATGAAAGTAGTTAAGATAATGCTCTCATGTAGTACTTTATGCTTATAATATGAATGGTACATATATACCATGTAATGTACCATGAAAGGTGTCCAGTTTGTTTCCTATTCGTGGCTTCATATTTATAAATTTTTTTTTGTCAGTTGTGGGGCTTGAACTCTGGGCCTGGGTGCTATCCCTCAGCTCTTCAGCTCAAGGCTATCTCTCTACCACTTGAGCCATAGTGCCATTTCCGGTTTATTGGAGATAAGCCACAGTGCCATTTCCGGTTTATTGGAGATAAAGAATCTCAGACTTTCCTGCCCAGGCTGGCTTTGACCCGTGATCTTCAGATCTCAGCCCCCTGAGCAGCTAGGATTACAGGTGTGAGCCACCAGCACCTGGCACTATTACGATTTTTAGTTCATGATGGTCTTATTTAACTTCCTATATTAATGTTTTTAAACCAGCGTTGAAATAAAAAGATACATTTAAAACTTCTCATTGCTCCAGTTGCTGGTGGCTCACGCCTGCAATCCTAACTACTCAGGATGATGAGATCTGAGGATGACAGTTCAAAGCCAGCCTGGGCAGAAAAGTCTGTGAGACTCTTATCTCCAATAAACCACTCAGAAAATCAGAAGTAGCACTATGGCTCAAGTGGTGGAGCACTAGCCTTGAGCTGAAGAGCTGAAGGAGCGCGCTCAGGCCCAGAGTTCAAGCCCCATGACCAACCAAAAAAAAAAAAGAGAGCCAAAGAGTGAGAATGAGAGAAACAAAACAGACACAGAGAAAGAAACAGAGACAGAATCCCACAGATCCTGTTTTAGATGCATAGGAGTATTAGAACCATGGTAGATAAGAATGTGTGCCAGGCTGGGCCCTGGTGGCTCACGCCTGTAATCCTAGCTACTCAGGAGGCTGAGATCTGAGGATCACGGTTCAAAGCCAGCCCGGGCAGGAATGACCGCGAGACTCCTATCTCCAATAAACCACCAGAAAACCAGAAGTGGCGCTGTAGCTCAAGTGGTAGAGCGCTCGCCTTGAGCTCAAGAGCTGAAGGACAGCGCCCAGGCCCAGAGTTCAAGCCCCACG